CGGAGGAAGCAGCGCAGACGTGAAGGCGGAGAAGGTAGCCTCCACGGAGCACAACCCCAGTGCCGTGGCAATGACCCGAGCACTACCGACCGTGCCCCTCAAGCCACCGCCTCGCCACGAGCCATTGAAACCCTGCTGCCGACGTTCGTCGGTGAGGGCTTTGCCCAACAGGATCCTGCGATGGTGGCGATGGGACAAGGAGGGAGAGGTGGGGGAGCCTGGCGGCGGCTTGGTTAATGCTGCCCACCCCTAGGAGCGACGTGCAGTGCGGTTCGTCTAAAGTGGCCAAGCTCCACACTTGTGTTCAACAAGTCGGCTAAAACAGAGAACGGGAGCAGCTACGGGGCTATGCAGGCGCAAACATTCTCCTGTTTTCAGGAGAGTGAGCATGGTCGGCAGACGAATAATGTTCTCTCATGCATCTACCCAAGAAAGTGTTTAAATCACTAAGTAGTGATCCAAATGCTCTTATATTTCTTTACCGAGGGAGTAATTTGCAAGTCATAAATCCCGTGTAAGATAAACACAGCCGTCCATACTCAAATCTGAATTAAATTCGGAACCTAAAAAAAAGACATATCCTAAGGATGTCTATGGCAAAGTCATCACTCTTTATTTATCTTTAAAGAAAGTTGGTACTCTGCTTTAGGATCCGTTAGCAACATCTTTTCAGAAGATGGCCACAGAAACTACGCCCGTGTTACTTCCACCTGTTGAATTTATGCTACTGTATGTATCATTCTTCCCGACCTCAACAAAATTGCAACATTACAACTACGGGCACCAGTTAGTTCTTAAGTTCTTCGGTTCTTCAGCAAACTCGCCTCTCTATACACTCACATCTCTGAGACTGTCGTCTACAGCCACAAGATTAAGCTGCCGTGTCGTCCGCTTCAAGTTCGGGTCAAGGGATTGAGCAACTCGTGACAAAATTAGGCGACGCCGGTTACAGCAGACATCAAAGGTTCCTTCTCCGCCGGGGTTCCGCCGAAAACTCTCTCCCTCGCATTGTCAGACTGCAAAAACATCAAGCAGCTCAGTGGCATATAAATCAGGTTTTGTATTTCATGTACGATTAACACTGGGATGGAGAAACTGCAAAGTTTGAGATGAAGGAGCAAACCATCTTTTGCCAGTTGCTGAAGAACACTATGCCGGACAGAAGTAGGAATTGCACTATGGAGCCGCAGGAAATGCCCATCCAAAGCCCTTTCCCTCCCATCTTCAGAACAAACCCGAGTAGGAGGGACATTGGGATCCCAAACAGATAGAACGAACCGAGGTTAACATAGGCGCCCAGGTGCTGCGACCCGCACCCTCGAGCGATACCTGAATGATTAACACACAATGTGTGTTAGCACTAGACATGAATGCATCTGGTGTTAAAACTATGTAGAAAGAACAGAAAGAGCAGATTCTTCTCTATTTGAGTTTAGCGATATGATGTCAGTATACATGAGGATCTTGCCTGTGCCTGAACTCAATTAAGCTTATGTTGGAAATGCCAGGCAAGAGCATATGTTTGAGCAAGTATAGTTCATAATTTTGGCCTGTCCAGAACTGTCGACAAGCATGAATTTGCACATATAGTGAAACAGACCCTGTGAAGGAAACAACAGTTCCACTAGCTAGAAGAAAGGTGCAGGCGATTGCATACTTAGTGAGGTGGCGCCCACTTAAGATTACATCATCCCAGCCAGATGTGTGTGGATATAAACACCGCCATCCATGTTCACATAAGAGCACATGTTTGAAAGAACAAAACAAGTAGCTCCCCAAGTAACAATGTCGGCTTCCACAACACAAAATAGCATTAGTATAGCAAAATATTAACAAATCTAATAAGTGGCACGTTACCTGGTAATGTCTTTGCGAAATCAGCATGACTCACAAATAATAGTTTCACTAGCTACCTAGCAAGGCTTATTACCAAACTGGATAAAAGCTACATACTGAATTATCGAAATCAAACTACAGGGCAGAGATATATATATATTCGATCCCTCCGTTCCTAAATATAAGTCTTTTTAGAGATTTCAATATGGACTACATACGGAGCAAAATGAGTGAATCTACACTCTAAACTACGTCTATATACATCCGTATGTATATTTAGTTCAAAATATGTAGTTCATATTCAAATCTTTAAAAAGATTTATATTTAGGAACCGAGGGAGTATATCACAGTACGGTGTCATGGCTGGAAACAAGTATAGCTAATGGCTGCCGAAATCATTATAACATCACTCTTTTGAAGGGACGGTAAAATTGACAGATCAATTAGTAGTTAGAAAATTTTAACCTGAGAGAACTCCTTGTAGGCTATCAGCAGCAACTGAGATGCAGATGAAGGGAACCATTGCATTGACATAATCAACAACCTCCTTATCACTGCTGTATGCATAGCCCAAGATGTGCTGGGATGCTAACAGTGCCCCAGTGATGAGAACTGCCTCAGTCACAGCAATACACATCACAACGCGGACAGCCAGTCGAGCACCTTCAGGATTCCCAGCACCTAATTCATTTGATACACGAGTGCTGCCCATTCAATAAAAATACAGAATGTCGTCATCAAATGACAATTCCATCCAAAAAAGAAGTACTATCTAGAAGTCTGTTAAGCTTCTACTTACCTTCCAGCAGCACCAATCCCATATGCTATTGTATACATCAATGTGATTGTTGTCATGCTGCACAAAAAGAAGAGCGTGAATATGATGCAAATATTACCATCAGTGCATATTACCTAACATGGGAAATTCTTACCATGTAGACAGAACTGAAGTTTGCAGCTCTGGATTGGGTAGAAGTCCAGACAGAAGAATAATGACCTCAAATGACCACCATTCAAAACTGGAAGATTCACACGGAAGCTCGTTAGCTCAATAGGGAAAAGTAACATGACACGTGGCCATTCTGAATCACACTGCTGTGCTTACCATAACATTAGTGCAGATGGCAGAGCTAGGCGCATGAACACACCCACTCCACTGAAAGCATCGAGTGTAGGAGGCGAGAATGTCTCCTTACAAGAGTTTGAGCATCCGATGTACGCAACAAGCATGAAGACGTTCAACCAGTATGATACGCTTATCGCCAAAGCGGCTCCAATGTACCCAAGGCTGGTCTTGAACACCAATAACCAGCAAACAGGAATGTGCAAGAGCAATGTTGCAATGGAGGACCAAAGCATAGGGATTATCAGACTCTGAGACTGTAAGAACTTTGTTAGGGGCTGGCTGACAGCGTATGCAAAGAGGGCCGGAATCAACCACATTATGTATCTTCCGGCTTCATGCGAGATCACGGGGTCCTGGCCTATGAGGGTCAGGAGTTTTCCCATGAATACCCAGAGAAGTGAGATTGGAATGCTGACAGCCGTCAGGGTGACCATAGCTCTGTAGGTTTGCACTCCCAATCTGCCGTACTGTTCGGCCCCGTAAGCTTGACCACACAGAGTTTCTAAGCCGTTTGACATTCCAATCTGTTATACAAAGCAGAGTATTCAGATTACTGGTGTAAAAAATGTGCAACTCAAAGAAAACAGTTCTGTTAACTCTGTTCAGAATATTAAACAATGATGTGCGGTGATAGCGTATAGTCTTAAGCCCTTAAGCCCACACATGGCCAGACTGGTGCATCAAAATAACAAAGTGTTCTTGAACTTTGAACATGCCAGATAACAAAGTTATTCTTGAAAGTTTGATGGAACAACAACAACATAGTTAGTTTCATTCCTGCATTAACCATTCGGTGGAGCTTTGTCCCAGTTAGTGGGGAAAATGAGAAAAGACTAAATCCCTCCTAATTCCTTTTTAATGATGGCTACTACTTGTAATGAAAATATGCTTTTTCTTTAGTTGGTACTCTGCTTCAGTTGGCAATGTGAGGTTTCGAATAATTTCACAGATCGCACCATGGCGTGGTAATAAACAGCCAATGTTCAGCGGCAGAACGCACAAGTTTGTTATGATACATTACTTTTATTAATAAGGTATATAAAGGAAAGAACACAGTACTTGCCTAGAAAAAAAGAGAGAGAATAATTTGCTGGGGTCAACTCGAGATTGACCACCTAGGCCCATAAACCGAATGAGCACGGCACCACAAACCCCCAAACTAAACCTACGGTAGACTCGTACACAGAGTTTCTAAACCGCTTGCCATTCCCATTTGTCATGCAAAGTAGAGGATTCAGATTACTGGGGTCAAATATGTGCAAGTTTAAAGAAAACAGTTGTATTAAACTGTTCAGAATATTAAACAAAGATGTAGAATAACAGCCCACGGCCGTTGTAAGATTGTTGCATCAAAATAACAAAGTGTTCACTTGAAAGTTTGACGGAACATGGACAGTTCCATTCCTGCATTAACCCTCCTCCAGTTATTGAAACAGCGACAAAAGACTAAACCCCTACTGGTTGATCCCTTTAAATAAATGAAATTATAGAAATATGCTTCTTGGGAGACTTAACTATGGCTTAAACTTGCACCTTTCCGGTTTCCAGCACACCTCTTTCACCAAACAGTTTAAGGCAGACTGAACATATGTGAGCTTTGCATAATTTAATTGATCGCGCCATGCCTTGGTAAACTGGTACTGATACACTGATTACCAGTAGCTACCTATATATGTTCAGCGGCAGGGCGCACACAAGTTTATTATGACATATTACTCTTATACGTACTGTATAAGGTATAAAGGAAAGAACACTGTACTTGGCTACAGAGGAAAAGAGAGAATCATATTTTGTTGCTAGCGAGGCCACTTTACACTTTACAGCAAGAGCAAGGTGCTTGTGTTCAACTCGAGATTGCCCACCCAGGCTCATACACTGAATGAGCACCGCACCTCAAACCCCCAAACCAAATCTTGAGTAGTTTAGATCGTGCAATAGCAACAGTGAATCACTTGTTGATTATTACGCCGGCAAATCAAGGTTGCAACACGACAATGCGGCGATCAGTTTAAGCCGGAATCAAGCGAGGCGGCTGATTCCTGAGAGGGGGGGTGAGTGGGGACGTACGAGGAGGCTGAATCCGGAGACGGAGGCGAGGGAGGTGGCGATGGCGGAGGCGGAGAGCGCCAGCACGCCCCCGGGGAGGTGGCCGACCATCATGTTGGAGGCCACCTGCACGGCGTACTGCGCCACGCTCACGGCCGCCATCGGCAGCGCCACGTGCGCGACCTTCCTGGCCTCCGCCGCCGCCGCCGCCCCGCTCCACCACCCGCCGCTCTTGGCCGCCGCCAGCGCTCGCCGGGGCAGCAGCGGCGCTCTGTCCTCCATGGCGCGCGTCCTCGGCGTTCGTAGCGCTTCTCCGACCACCGGCGGTGCCTCAGTCGGCGATTGCGGGCTGCGTGGTCTGGCGGTGGCGGTGGACGCGGCGGCGGGCGGGGGGTTTTAATGGGGGAGGGCTCTGTCACGCTCGCTATCAGCGGCGCGGCGGCGGGTGGGGGCTGGATTCTTTCTCTCTCGGGAATATCGTTATCGCGGGTCGACAGACGTCCATATATGGTCTCTCTCTATCAGGGGGGCCCACCCCCACCCCCACCCCCGCTCCCCGCGTCCAGCGCCTTGCCTTTTCTGCTCTTGCTTTTCTAGCCGTCTTTCGAACGCCAAAAGATTTCGAAAATGGGTGCATGGTGAATAAAAAACAACCATCTCCATCCTTCCAACCAGGTTTCGCTGGCGTCGTCTTGTCTTGTTTTAAAGTTCACCAGAAAATAGAAAGCACCTTCTATAACAAATAATCTCTATCTTTCTCTAATAATAAAGCAAATTGGATTTTCGTCGTCCGTCACGCACTTTTTCAGAAAACCCCCTGCATTTTTCATCAATTAACCCGCAGTATGCACTTAAGTCATAATCGAACCGTTATTTTACATTTTACGGAACCCCCCTGACGTATTAGATAATTCACCCGCCGATCATATATAAGTCAAACAAATGTTTTTCTACATTATTCATATCTTTTAAACCGTAACTCCGATTTTAACATGTTATATATGAAAATTGATTAGAAAAATGTGTAGAATCTGAATATGATGTTATTTTGTTTGTTAAATATTTTTTAAATATTATTTTGGAAGATATTTAAGTCAAACAAATATTTTTCTTAATTATTCATATCTATTAAACCGTAACTCCGATTTTAACATGTTATATATGAAATTTGAATAGAAAAATATGTAGAATTTGAATATGATGTTATTTTTACCTATTAAATATTTTAAAATATTATTTTAAAAGCAAACTTGTAACCTATAGGGCACGCCCGTTTTTCTTTCGTACCACGACGATCTGGATTGCAAATAAACAACCACTAAAATCATAAAGAGACGAAAGAAAACATCGATAACCACACATGAGCACCTCTGAAAAAACTGGCAGGGGAAAAACAACATTCAAACACACTTTGGTTTGTGTGAACACTGAGGCCACTGAGGGTGAGAAGGAGGATAAGCGGCAACATAAAAATGATGCCTCGCTAAAATAAAGTGCATGAACATATTATGGTTATTGGGTTAAGAGTGTGTGTTATTTTTTTCTCCCGTTGCAACGCACGGGCTCTTTTGCTAGTAATAGTATAATAAAAATTGCATCGAGTATCATGAACCACCGAACGGTCAGTATCGCGGCTAGAACAAGCCGGCGGTACGTCGCGGTAGCCGCCTTTGTGCCGGAGCCGGCTTCACCTTGTCATTCACAAACGAAAAAAGTCTTCATGCATGTGTCTCTAAGAACCGACGTCCTAGAGTTGTAGTCGTCACTGTTCAACCCTTGAATCGATCTGAAACTCCTAACAACACATATCACCGTCGAGCGCGGGGCAACAAAACCTAACCATGTAGTAATATACGGTAAAGCTTTGTCAACTTCATCCTGATGGATGAACTTGTGGAAAATCGGAACCCCAAAAAATAGCTCAAAGATGAGAAACCCTCATCCGCCTGAACGTTGTCCTTGCCAGTAAAAAGAAAAAATAAACTAAACTACTGGCTAAAGACGAATCACTGAGGTTCGCATTCCCGCCACCGGCCATCGAGGCGGCTGGCAGAGGAGAGGAGTATCCATGAGCTGGTCAGCGCAATCAAAAGGAACTAGATCCATTGATGTCACCACCGCTGCTTAGCGAGAGCACATGAAAACAATTCGGTACGCCCTTCATGCAGTGGCGGAGCTATGTGTAGTGCCGAAGGAGCCGTTGCCCCCCCCCCCTTCGATTTTTCTCTAGCTCCGTCAGGGCCTTCATGGCCTTAATGTTACATCCTCGTTTGCCACCCTATCGTCGTTAGTCACAGATGGAAAGTCATCAAGGCCGCGGTACTATCAGACCAACATCACGGAGAAGAAAACATCACCGCTGGAAATGTATACCTAGTGCTTGCGAATATATTAAAAAAATTGGATGCTCTAAAAAAATATAGTGCCCCTATATCCGTCCCATATTTGGGCTCGATATGAGGGGTGCCGGTTAGCGCGGGCGAAGGCCCGTTTGAGGCGCCCGTCTGGGTCAAAATTTCATGACATTGCCATCCCTGTGGGCGTTTGAGGCGGGTTTGGGGTGCCCGGCTGTAGATGCTCTGAAGCCTCTAACCTCTGTTTGAGCCGGAGTCAGGCCTGACCTCGTCATTCATAATCGAAAAGTATTTGTTTTCGCGCATATATCCCTAAGGACCAACATCATGGACACGTAGTCATCACTGTTTAGCCCTTGAATCAAACTGAAGCACCTGACGCCATATATTGCAGCCACGAACGGAAAGAGAAAAACCATAACCTCGTTGCCCCAAGAAAACGGCAGTAATCTACGCTGGAGCTTCGTCCTGATGGACGGACTTGTGGAGAATCGGAACCCCAAAAACCAGCTCAAAGATGAGAAGCCGTTATCCGCCTAAACGCCGTCCCCGCGAGAAAGAACCCTAGCCTAATGGAGAGGAGTATCCATGAGATGGCCCTTGGAGCCAGAAGGAACTAGATATGTTGATGCCGCGGCCGCCGCTTAGCGAGATCATAGGGAAACAATTCGGTACACCCTTCACGGCCTTAATGTTAGGTCCTCTTCTACTACCATGTCGTTGTTGATCACAAATAGAAAGTCATCAAGGCATTGAGAGCCTTCCCCATTACAAATAGAAAGTCAAACCAACTTCATCGAGAAGAAAACATCACCACTGAAAATGTATAGCTTGTACTTGCAATTATATAACAAAATTCTGATGCACTAGAAAAAAATTAAAAATTTGTGAGCGTCATGTAGTTGACATTGTTGGACACCATTCCACCCCGAGTCTGCCCGGTGCAGAGCAAGACATCACCATGTAGAAGAAGAAAAATGTCAGGCATGATAGGTGCCCTAGAAATTAATACACCTTACTTTCAAATAGGATTCTTTATTCGACCATTTTCATCGGGGTAGGCAGTGAGGCTAGCAGTAGAATGGTATCACCGCCAACAAGCTTGCGAGATCATGGCACGGAACCGCCTGCCCGCTTTTAGGGTTTCGAGAAGCGAAACAGACGGAGGAGATCAGATCAGATATTGGCAGGGCAGCGGCACGATCTTGCCATGGCCTTTTTTGGCTACTTGGTGTGCAGCGACAAACCGAGAGCAAAAACAGCATATGCCTACCTGCCCATCCATGAGCCGAGCAAGTGGTGTGACACTACTTGTGCCGTGGTGTCATAGCTGACGGCTGAGCGGAGGCGCGCACACACACGCTCTGGTCCACTTTTGGGCCTTCCAAAAGCGAAACCGCCGGAGACGGTCAGAGACATGGGTGCACATAACCAACGGACGCTGCGTGCCACCTTCGTCTCGACGGTTCTTTTCTTTCTCCTCGTCCAGTCTTCTTATTTTTGATTTGGTTTTCAATTTTTCTGTTTTTCCTTTTTAAATCCTGTTTATTTTTATTATCTTGCGAATAAATCTTATTTATTTTTGTTCCTATTTTCCTTCAGCTCATTTTACTCTTTCTTTTTTGTTACCTTTTCTTCTCGTTTCTTCTTTTTCAAATTCATAAAAAATCATGAACAATTTTCAAATTATATTGATTTTTTTTGAATTCATGGACTTTTCTCATTCGTGGTTTTTTAAATTCAGATCAACATTTCCTGAAAACGTTTACTGTACATTATTTTATTTTCATTAGGTATAAAAAAAGTTGTCAACCTATAATAGAAAAGGTTTGCCGCATGTTTTTGAATTCATGGACTTTGCCCAGCGACGCTCCGTGGCAGTGGTGAGAAAGGGAGTAGATGGGACGGTGCCTAGGGTTTCAGTCGCCTCAGGTCCTTTCTCCATGAGACGTTAAGAATGGTTTCTTCGAGATGGGAGCTTTGATATTAAGAAAGTCACCATAGATGATTCACTATCCACGAAAACGTTTCCTTCCATTGAAAATTATTTATTCTATTTTTACCCACATTCAATGGTAAAAAAACCGAATAAGTAAACAGTCTAGTGCCCTAATACTGTACCACAATGCATGCATGAAAATTTTCATGAAAATTTATACCATGTGTTGGAAAACTCTGAAGTATTTGGGGTGTTCTAGAAATCTTCTTCTTTATTTTATTTTCATAAATTGTTGCGGGACTTGTTAATGACCCGAGTCTGATCAGTACAAAGCAAAATGTGAAAAATGTTTAAACTTCAACCGTTAGAAAGTTCTATGATATATTCATGTGTAGTTACAAAATTCCAATCATCAAAATCGTACCTTTCAATATATACAGGCCACAAGTTAATCCAGGGTAAACTGAGCAAAGCTTGAGACGTTTTTTTTTCATTTGTCAAGGGTAGGTGTGCACACCGCGGGACAAACGCATGAATCTCTATTATTAAAAAGGAGTTGATTTGCGAACAAATATGTGGTTGGATGGTTAGGTGGATAGTGGTATCCCCAGCTCATCAGATTTCTAGTCCCGGTGCTCGCATTTATTCTAGATTTATTTCATGATTTTCCACGATACGCGGGAGGAGACTTTTTTGTCGATTACGAGGCGCCTACGGTGACTTCGTAAAATCTCAAGATGATATACTGGCTCAGTCTCTCGGAGATGCTCATAGGGGTAGGGTGTGCGTGTTTGCGCTCATAGGGATGAGTGTATGCACATATATATATTTTTCTTTTCGAGGGTACGCAAATTGCGTACCTTAGCTTTATAGAAGAAGAGAAATGAGACATACAACAACGTCAACCACTCGCTGCGAACAACGAAGGCGACCCACTCCACATCTGGATCGTACAAGTACAACCCAACACAACAACACGACAACACAAC